TGGCCAACTCACCATGGCCAACTTGCCATGGTCAACTTGTCATGGCCAACTAGCTATGGCCAACTCCCCATGGTCAACTTGCCAGAGTCAACTTGTCATGGCCAACTAGCTATGGCCAACTCCCCATGGTCAACTTGCCAGAGCCAACTTTTCATGGCCAACTCCCCATGGTCAACTTGCCATGGCCAACTAGCTATGGCCAACTAGCTATGGCCAACTCCCCATGGTCAACTTGCCAGAGCCAACTTGTCATGGCCAACTAGCTGTGGCGAACTCACCACAGCCGACTCACCACGTGACAACTCGCGACGGGACAATTTAATAATTCTATTTATTTATTTATTTTAAAAAATTAAAAATCATTTTAATTGTTGCCATTCCCTTTTCATTCTGTCCCTCCTTTCGCATCCTTTCCTTAACTATTCTTCCCCACTCTTTCTTTGCTATTCGTTTAACTCTTGTCCCGTGGCGAGATGTCCTTGCGCGGGTTGGCCTCAGAAAGGGCAAAATGGCAGTCAGAAGTGCTCAGCCAGGACCCCCTGTTTACACACCTGCGTTGCCCGCTTCAGCCACGCAACTGCAGCCCCTGCCTTGATATGTTCAACGCCCCCCCCATGCACCAGCCCACAACAGCCCGGAGCCCTTTCCGTAGCCCTTAATCAGGTAAATGGGACTCTGTGGATTTTGCTAAGTGATTCTCTTTTAACGCAGTGCAACGAGAAATGCACCAAGGCTCTCTTCCACATGGGGAAGGCGTACCTGGCCAAGAAGCACTTCCAGCAGGTGAGACCTCGCCGGGCTCAGAGTCTGCGCTGCACCGAGCTGTGGCAGGTAGTCCTCGACTTACGACCAGAATTTCCATTGCTAAGCAAGGAGGTCGTTAAGTGAACCATCTGATCTTTTTTTTTCTGGCCCAGTGTTAAAGGAATCTCTGGAGTTATTAAGTGGAACCTGGTCATTAAGGGAACCTGGCCTCTCCTCTGGTCACAGGCGGCAATCCCATGACCCCGGGGCCTTTGATCACATACTGTGATGGCCGTAAGTGTGAGGACCGGTTATAAGTAACCCTTTTCAGCGCCGTCGTCGCTTTGAACAGTGGCTACAGAAATGGTTGTAAGTCAAGGACTGCCTCTATTGTGTGAATATGAGTTTATTAACTGTGGGCCGGTGGGACTCCGTCGGTCTTAGAGCCGCAGAATTCTGCTCGCAAGTCTGCGTTGTTGTTGAGAAAGAACGACAAGAAGATTAAATAGGTGCGCCGAGGAGGTAGTCCTCAAGAAACCAGGCTCAATATTGGTGGGTCAGACGTGTTTGCCCCTAGTGCAGTGGTGGCTAGTCTTTCTTTCTTTCTTTCTTTCTTTCTTTCTTTCTTTCTTTCTTTCTTTCTTTCTTTCTTTCTTTCTTTCTTTC